GCAAATAAAATTAATGATTACAATTGGTTCGCTGCACTGTGATTGGCTGAAATAGAGAACCAATCAGTCGCATAATCGTCAATCCGCAATCTGATAGGAGCATAAGGGTTGGTTTATAATAGGCCGTAATCTGTTAACTTTTTTTGTAATCTGTAATGCGGGGTCTACAATAGAAGTCGTAGCAGTCGTAGGGTCTTAAGTCGTAGAAAATTGACCAATCAGAGTCGATTATTCTTCTCATATTTGATTGTGATTGGTTAATTTTCTACGACTTAAGACTCTACGATCGCTATGACTTCTATTGTAGACCCCACATTAGAATTGAGCAATTACAGTCGAGTGAAAGTATAAATTACGGAAAAAGTTAACAGATTATGATTTATTATAAACCAACACTAAAGGTCCGTCTACAATACACGTAGTAAGCTTGGTTTAAGAAGAATAAGAAATTGACCAATTATAGTCGAACGTGAGAAAAATAATCGACTGTGATTGGTCAATTTTTTATTCTTACTTCTTAAACCAAGCTTACTACGTGTATTGTAGACCTTAAGGCAACAATGGTCAGCAGACGTTCAGCAGACTCAACTGTTGTGAATCCGTGAGCGCTCTCTGCTATTGGTATATTCTTTTAGCTCATCCAATAGCAGCTCACTGATTCGCTCCGCAAGAGTTGAGTCTGCTGAACGCGACCAATGGCTGCGTTCAGCAGAACGTTCGTTTTGCAACTGTTGGAAGTTTCCTTCGCGCTAATTGGATCGTACTTTTAGATCTAGAAGAATGGTCCTATCTCAGCAGACAATCGTAAAACGGTTGCAAAACTGTTGAGTCTGCTGAACGCAGCCATTGGGTGCGTTCAGCAGAACGTTTGTTTTGCAACTGTTGTAAGTTTCCTTCGCGCTAATTGGATCATACTTTTAGATCTAGAAGAATGGTCCTATCTCAGCAGACAATCATAAAACGGTTGCAAAACTGTTGAGTCTGCTGAACACAGCCATTGTCAAATAGATAAACTTCAATCAGCTGTGAATTGTTGTGAATGATGGCTATGATCAATTGCAACGTTGGTTAATCGGAATCTTCCCATTTTGTACTTGGCTGTATAAGCTTACAAACGATATATAGGCTATGTTCCAAAATTTTCTGCCTCTACTGAAAATCTACAGTGTAGTTATATAAATTGTAACATTTTCAGTGCAGGCAGTAAATTTGAAACACAATTACTCACGTCGCCAATTGACCAATTTATACTCCGACCTTCTGATTTGTTGAGCCAGTAGAAAAACTCCAAACACTGGATGGTTGTGACGGCTGTAGCCAATCGCAACGTCGTCAAACGGGATGCTCCCCTCCATTCCCCTTCCACAAGAAGCCAGCTGCCACTGCTGCCAGATCAGCCCTCCTTTTCTGGGGCATTCAGGGGGAATCAAAGTAGATTTATAGGCATGTACTTGTGCGTAAAATATCGAAGATTTTGCTTTCGAAATAATTTGTATAGAAAAATAATCAAGCAATAGTATTCGGTCCGTTGTTTCCGTTTGTATTTTACGAAAATACAGAGTTGATTTGGTGAGAAATCTGAGAAATACTAATTACTATGTGCACTCAGCATAACAGAATTTGAACAATTAGCACCATCCAACGTGCCCCAAAGTTTTCCCAGGCGGATAATTTAGTTATAGAATGGCCGGAAATTTTTGGCAGAGCTCGCATCAGTAAGTTTGGAAATCACAGTAAAATCTCAATGAATGAATTTCAGTTTTTACGAGGTTTCTTGTTTTCGATAGCCAACAATGGTTACTGGATAAACAGGACTTAATCAGAGAACGTCAGCATGATTTGTCAGTGCTAACGGAGGAGGAGTATCAGAAAATATTTATTTTCTTTTCTAGCAGTAAGTTGAAATGATCTTTTCACATTTGATGGAGATTTACAAATTTGTTCTAAAGTATATCTGTTAATCGATAGAGCACCTTGTGTCTATCTTTCTATTAGCATTGTTGATAGATTGTCGATTCTCGAAAATTATAAGACCTGATGTTAAATAAAATACATTTAATATATGAATAATTACAAGATATATTGAAACTGTAAGATTTCATCTGGCAAAACTCTGCTTTGTTCTTTGTATCTGTTAATGAAAATTTTTATTAAATGGTTCAATATACCCATTTCAATCATCAATTATTAAATTCATTAAAGCAAGGATTTAACATTTACTAAGCTATAATTGACTGTTAAGTACAGAAGTTTGTACTACATTTTGTCACAGCATTTCTATGTAAAAGCATATTTTATATGTAATATAATCTGTAATTACATCCATATATAAATCCTGTCACTAGTGATACAGATGATAGGTGAACAATTAAAATTGAGGCAACAAGTGGTAGCTACTGCGACAGTGTATTTTAAAAGATTTTATGCTCGCAATAGCTTAAAATGTATAGATCCTCTATTATTAGCTCCTACTACAGTTTTTCTGGCATCGAAAGTAGAAGAGTTTGGAGTAATTTCTAATAGTAGACTGATATCAACAATGGGAAATGTAAGTAAGTTCCATGATATATCCACTGTTACAGTTTGTTGGGGGATCAATATGCATGTAATTAAATATAAATGTAATTAAATATAAATCTTTAATTAATGTTATTTTCTTTTTGTAGTTAAGAACAAATTTAGTTACGCGTATTCGCAAGAATTTCCATATCGCACAAATCATATCTTGGAGTGCGAGTTTTATCTTTTGGAACATTTGGACTGTTGTTTAATAGTATATCAACCATACCGTCCCTTGTTAACATTAATTCAAGATGTAGGACCAGATGATCAGCTACTTATGCTCGCGTGGCGTATTATTAATGATAGTCTAAGAACAGACGTATGTTTGTTATATCCACCTTATCAAATAGCTATTGGTAAGATAAAAATAATTGTTTTGTTTTTAATGGTCTAGGTCTGGCATTACAAGAGAACTTAATGACAATTTATATCTTTTTTTTATAGGCTGTCTGCAAATAGCTTGCGTGATATTACAAAAAGATCTCAAATCGTGGTTTGCAGAATTGAACGCAGATATGGAAAAAATTCAAGAAATAGCGCGGTATATAATAAATTTATATGAATTGTGGAAAAAGTATGATGAAAAAAACGAAATGCCAGCAATATTAGCTAAAATGCCAAAACCAAAAGCAGCGCCACAACGTTGACAGCAAGCTCTTGATTCGCCGAACGTTTGGGACTCGTGCTAATGCAGTGAAATGCTTTAACTAAAAATCTGTCCTTTTTTCTGATATATACACACTATTGGAGATACACATACAGTTGACAATGAATATCATTCTGCACTTATATCTGCATAAATGTTTTGATCCATATGTAAAACTACATTTTAAAAAATATGTTTAAAAGATATTGCAGTATCATTTAAAATTTCTATATTTGATACTAGATATAGCGAGAATGCTACAATTAAATAATTATAATTTGATTTAAATTCATTGTCAGATAAGTACAACGATCTATCAATTTATATTTTTATTTACATGTTTTATTTATATACAATATTAACTGTTGATTTAAAGTATAAATATGTACATTATTTATAAAATATACATATTAAAAATTATTTTAAAAAATCGAAACATGCTATGTATCGAGATTCATATATTAGGTTTGCTTCAGAAAAATGATGTCCAGAAGATATTAGATTGACGACTGTATTCCGATGGCAAATTTATTTATTGTATGCTGTAAAAAATTATAACAGATTTTAGTGTGATGAATCGAATTGACGAATTCTGAATAATTCCTTCTTCATTGTATAAATTTTATAATTGGAGTAGAATAAAACGGACAACAAATTGAATATTCAAAAACTTATTTAATTAAATCAGTATCATATTCGTTATATTATAAAAAAAAAACATAGTCTAATCTGAGAAAGTTTAATTGGCATCGATTAAAAAGAAAAAACTTATTGCTTCCGTATATGTGAATAATGAGTGTAGTTTTGGACTCCTCGATATTTTCATGCATTTATATAATTCAATAATTAATTTGTTTTTTTTATTACTAATTTGTTTTTATATGCTTGAACGCCGCTCGGTTGATAATAGAGAAAACTTGGAATGTTTTTTTCACTTCGCTCCTTTTTTTTTAATAGCTTAACTGTTTCAGGCAAACAATTATTTATTACGTAGTTATATGCAGTTATTTTAATATTGCCGATTGTTTTTATGAAAAATGTAATAACTTATTTTTATACTTACTGCTCGTTCGGTGAATCCCAGTGCCTCCCTGTTGCATAATAATCTTCTAGAATTTTGTTAACTTTTTTCACGTCTTAGGTTGTTTCAATCATTTCTTTATGTATTTTCAGAGTATGAGGATTAAAATACAATTTCTCACATACATGCAATTTTCTTCTGATTTCGTCTATCGTTTTCATTTATCGTTGTTAATTAATACATAGAGCTCTCGTTTATTATTATACAAATTAATTTCCTTTGTCATTATTTCTGTTATTAAATTCGTAGATTAAACTTAGAAAAAAATTTAGACATTAAAAAATTCTCAATTTGCTTTCTTGAGGTACGAAGTCAGAAATGGGAAAATTGTCAAGAAATACATACGAATTTTTCTATAAATTACATTCATACGAACAACTTAATAATTTTTTGACAATGAAATCATTTTGGTTCAAAGTTTTAAACAGATCGGACTTCAGTAAAAAAATGGTAACAAATTAAAACATTACAATAGTAACAACTATAAATTTTTATTAATCTATAGACAGAAAAATAAATCTACAACATATTTCGATATATCTTCCTATCCAACTTGTCAATTTTTGCTGATTTTCATTTATCATTATTACGCAATAAAATTATTTTTATATGTTTACCATGAAAAATCTCTTAAATTTTAAGTGATTTTTCATGGTAAACATATAAAAGTAATTTTATTGCGTAATAATGATAATATTTTTAAATCTAATTTTGTCATTTCACAATCCAACACAATCACTCTCTTTTTCTCCTAAATTACTTGAACGACGAAAGAGTGGTGAAATAAGATAGAGTTGCTTGTAACACCTTAAAATTCAAACTAGCTAAGTATTTCCATTATATTATAAATGCTGTAGAATCTCGTTCTTACCGAAGCATAATTCTGCAATGACATCACGTACATATTGCCAGCCGTTAATGTACAAGGCACAAGACTCCTTCTAAGTAATACTCTCAGTAGCTGTGTCGTTCTTCGCGACATTCTGTACCACAGCATGTTGTATCTAAAAATAATTAATCCAATATATAATATTTTATTTCTACAAATCAATTATTTTTTAATATCTATTCACTCTAAATTTCTTACGGTGAAATCTCACTCCAAGAAAGTGAAAATACAACCACCCTTCACTTCTTGAAAAAGAATGACAATTTCTACTCTTTTTCAAGAAGTGAAATATTTTCACTTGTTTTCAAGAATGATTACATTTTTACTCTCTTGGAGTGAGATTTCAAGACTGCAAGAAATTTAGTGTTGAAACATTTAAAATTTGAAGAGAAAAAACGATAAAGATAAGAAAGTTTAAAATGTTTTTTTAAAGAAAGCTACAAAAAGCTACATTTAAGAAAACTATAAAATATCAAGAAATTAACAGAGGATAAGTTTATTCTCTTTTACATTACAGCTTCATAAAGAAGAAAGTTTTAGATACTTTTTCCCTAGAAAAATCTGTTCTGTTTTTTCTGTTTTGCTACATTGTGTGAATAACTTTGGTACGATATATTTACGCTTTATGAAATATATCTGTGCTATGGTCTATTATTTCTTGTCCGGGATAACTCAAAACGAAAAGATGTATGAAGCCACCTATTAACATTGATACGTATGTCAATAGCTCTACTTTTTTATTCATGAAAGTAATTATCTGCAAAATGATCAAATTACAGATTAATTAAAAGATGAGACGATTTTTAATTTTCGCCAGCGTGCATCGTCTTAATATCATCGTCTAATACCAAGCGTACTTACTTGAAATCCGAGGAGACTCATACCAATGAGATTCATGATGATCATTATGAGCAAATACATTTTGAATAAAGATTCCACTAAATCGATATATCTGAAAGATTTACGAACAGATACATTGACGTAAAACGATACAAAACATCTTGCAATATACGTGAAAAATTCAAAACTCACTCAAGGCTCAGTTGATGTTTCCATAAGAGAAATATCATTTCACGATAAATAATGTCATCATTCGATTCGCACTTATTGTAAGTTACCTTTACGTCCTTAACGAAAGAACTTTTTTTTAAATTTATCAAATTTTCTAGTTGATGCCTTTGAAATACGATCAAAATTTTATCTATAGTACACGAATACTTAAGAGACAAGAAAAAATTTTCTTTTATATTAACATATTAGGCCTCAGGTAATTCTTGCCTTACTGTTTTAAATACTTAATCGTAACTCGGTCCTAATCAAAATTTTTGGTAAATGATTAGTGGATAAAAAGAGTTACTTTTTTCTAAAATCTAGTCTGCGATGGAGACGTCTAAAAAAAGGATTAAAAAAAAATTAATGATCCTTGTCTTTTTAACAAATATTCAACTAATAAGTGATTTTATCAGAGTTGGGAACGTTACCTTAAAAAATAACGCGTTACCGTTACAGTTGTTTTTTGTTAAAAATAACTTGTTACCGTTACTCATTTTAAAAAGTAATGTGTTACTTGAAAAAGTAATGAATCGTTACTTTTTCGTTACTTTTCAGGAAATTGTTGAGTTAGCTTCCTCATATACGATGTTGATAAAATTAGACTCATTCGATGCGTTTTTGCACAAAAAACGACCGAATCTGGCAAAAACAATCGTCGGAAATTAGACTCAACAATTACCAAATTTAAATTAAATATTATTTTTAAACTTTAATGTCATTATTAAGAATGTATTTCAAGATTCACTTCCAGTACTGAAAATCCGTAATATACGTATATGTAATGTGAATTACAGATATTGAATACTGATAATTAACTACCGGAATGCAGTCTAAGATGTAAAATATATAAAATGTTTTTTAAGAAATAAAAATGAGAAGGTAAACATTTTATAATTATATTTATTATACGTATTAATCGTTTATTATACATAATATAATGTTAAATTGTAAATATATATTTGTATACTTATACATTAAGCATTTAAAAAAATTTTAGATATTTTGATCATTTATTATAACGATAGAACACTTGGGTAATTAGAAGTACACTTCTAGAGACACAAAAACAAAACATCTTTCAGCGCCAGCAATATCGAAATATGATCCAATCCAATTAAAATTAAAGTAACGATAAAAGTAACAATTGAATCATTATCGTTACTGTAAAAATATAACGACATTACCATTACTGTTAAATACAGGAAAAAGTAACGATCGTTATCGAAAAAAAGTAACGAAAAAAATAACGGTGTTACAAGTAACATGTTGCTTGATCCCAACTCTGTGGATTTTATGTACATTTTTTTAATGGAATAAATTGATATAATTATTATTTGAGTTGATCTGTGATAATTATTAGAGGTACCGGATATCCAGAAAATATCTGGTATTTTTTTTACTATCCAGTCGGGTAGCTGGATATCATTAGTATCTGACAATATATATATCCGACTGAAATTTAATATTGTTGTATTGAAAGTTGTATTTAATATTGGTGTATTGAAAGTTAGATCATAATTGCAGAATTTTATTCTTTTCAGCTGAACTTCTTGCATAGTTCATGATTTTGCACAGTTTATCCCTAAATACAAATTACTATCTAAAAATTTTGATTATCCGAGTAAGAAATTATTATACATTTACAATTAATTGTAAAGAATTTAAATCAGGAAAGGGTGTAAGGTCACCTGGACTTAATGAGTTAAATTAAAACTTTTTAGAAAATACATGCTACAGATACGATACCCAATAGCTGCGAACAGACCGCACGCGTGCTGCGTGAGTGATATGTAACTTGTATCGTTTATTATCATTGAGGTTATAGCCAATACAACAATAATATATGAATGGACTAATACGAGATAGTAATATATCTCTCTGTCGAAGCTATAGTCGACATCGAACAGATATATGTAAGGGCGCGATGTATTGAGAGGCATAAGGAAATCCAATATCGGCACCGTTAGTGGAACCATCATGTAAAGGCTCATCAACGAATAAATCACAACTGCAACTCACATTATTACTATAATATAAACAACGAATACGCAATCAAGCTGCATTACTTAAATCAGATACAATGTGCAATTCATAATCACACGAATTATAGTGAGAGAAATATATATTAAGAGTGACGAGTCGACGTTAAAAGTCAAAAGACACGAAAGTGATCCATTACCGGCATAATTTAACGACATTTTTCTTCCTAGGAGAGCATACTCGTGCATAATTTTTATCTCCGAGGAACGCGTGAAAACGCACCAGTGATAGTCGATCAGCGAAAGCAGGTATTCTATCTGAGGAATAATGAACGAAACGAAGGGTACAATCTACATGTATATCTAACGATTTTTTAAGGAGCCAAGTGAAAAGTCGCATCTCATGAAATCTTACATTTTTATTTTTGATGATTATGAGGAAGAGTTTAATGTGAGCGCCGATTGCAAGCAGAAAGATGAATAAGGATTCGCAGTCCTCGTTCAGGTTCCTCCATATTTCCGATAATTTTACCAACTGAAAATCGCTGATAATAATTGCGAACACCTCTGCGCATCTCTAATGTTCCACCTACCTACATTAAGAGCAAAATTAATAAGCCAGTATATATGAGTTATACTGATAAGAATAATTTTAGACGCGATAAAACAATACCATAAATAGGAGAGAGAGAGAGAGAGAGAGAGAGAGAGAGAGAGAGAGAGAGAGAGAGGAGAGTAGAGTGACGTTAAAAGACATAATGACATTTATTTTGGTTTATTAAATGTTACTAAACATCACTTAATCGTCACTTTACTTTCTCTATTTATTTTTTATAATTTTCTTAAATATAATATTATATATATATATA